AAATTTTCATATCGGTGCATCCCTAAATGTTTTGTTAATGTTTGAGCAATAATCCATTAATAATATACCTTTTAAATATTACATGTACAAATTGTGGTATTTTATCATATAAACTACCATAATTTGCACAGGTAATATTTAAAATTCCATAAAAGTAAACCAAAAAATATAATATAAAAATAAATTAAATATAATAATACATATAAACATGATCTTTTCTGTAAACTTTATAACATTGACACAGGCCAGTGTCATTTTAGCATTATTTACTACTATAGTTTATTTATTGTTTTTTTTTTACATTTTAAATCAGTTTATAATTTTTGTTTACTGTCTTAATTTTAGTAATTGTTTCATCATTTTATTTTATGTTTTAAACTACTTCTATATAGCTGTATTTTTATTATCATTTTAGTTTAGTTAATTTTAGTACTTTAATGTAAATATTTATAGTGTGTGTTTGTGCGTTTGCCTAATTTCAATGAACAAAAATGATGTTTAATCACTGACCTACAATAGAGAAGATTATATAGATGAGTGTTTTTAATAGAAGGACAAACTGAAATAGCCCTGGTTGTGCCTGAATTTAATATCTAAAATGTTAACATGAAATCAGTGCAGTCTGCACTTTCATTTATAGTCAACAACTTCATGTAAAGGCCATCAACAACTCTCTTTTTTTCTTCTTTCTTTTAAGCAAATTTTACTCACAAATGTTCCCAGTTAAACGAAACAGGTTAATAACACTCCTATCCCATGTAACAGATAAAATAGTGAGCAGAATGCAGGTTAGTGCTGGAGAGCTTGTGTCTCACCTGCATGCAGGTATTTGTTGAGTGAGTCGTGTAGATGCGGCACAGGTAAAGCAGGCAGGCTGCTCTGATACTCAAATGTCCGTTCCGCGGTGGACTCGAGCACCTGGTTCTCCATTATTACTGGACTGACTCAACTGAGAATCAAATCAGACCGAATACTCAGAACGACTCAGTGGCAGCTTGTCCAATCGTAATGTATCAGATTACAAATACACTTCTGCACAATCTGTGTTTACTCCCCCTAGAGACGTGCACTTGACTTTCAGTAACGCATAAATAAATGACTGAAATCCCTTCATCGTGCATATACATAATCAAAAAATTCTAAACACTACAAATACATATGCAGGTCATGCTGAACACACATAATGTAAACCGAAACATTGTCGAGGTGACTAACCTCAGTGAGACAAGAGACTGTAGCAATGCAGAAACAGAAACGGCTATAAACTGCACGAGTGAAACGGAGTCTTGCTACTTTACTGAAGAACCTCGAAGTGTACATTCAACGCCAGATCGGGAATCGCTCCCATTACCTTTGCCCTAATTACTGAACTTGAAGTTAAAATCAATAACAATGACTCGATCAAACATGGCTGCCTGCCTGAACAGATTTCTAAATAAACGTCGGCGAGCAATGAAGGAATAAATGAAATGTTCTGTATATTATAATATTTTCAGACATTTTTGAATGTTTTTCACTAACACAAAAAGCGCTGTTCGTAATTCTTTAATAAATGTGTGTGGTTAGAACAAAATCATTATGTTCAAAAACGTTTTGAAACTTACAGATCTATTGATTGATTGATTCAAATCTCATTAGTCACGAATGCCGTTACATTTTCCTTAAGAGAACTCAATTTAACATAAAACATCCATTTCCATGAAAAGTCCGAATGTGTGATTAAAAAAAAAAAGTATTTTGTAAATAAAACAATATTAAAATAATCTTTAATGCAGAAATTGAAAATATGTTCATCATAAAATGCATTTAAACCATTTTTTGTTTGATTTACTTTCTTTAATTTACTTTTTAATACCTTAAATGATCCAGACAAGAATAATCATCACATCATTGACTAGGCTATATATTAAAAAAATATATATATATATATAAAGGATTATATATTGTGTTTAGTAAAACAACTTTTTTTTTTTAAATAAAGTTTTATAATAAATAAATAAAGATAAAGGGAGAGAGAAAGAGAAATAATTAAATGGGTACATAAACTATAAAAGAACAACAAAAAAGTATTGAATAAATAAGAAGAAATTAAATAAGAAATTAATTGAATTAAATAAATAATTAATTTAAATAACAGATTCAATTACTGGTTTGTTGCAATTACACCTGTTTGATTCACTCAAGAGTTCTCTGGCATCTGTTCCTGAGTGCCTATTTTCAGCTGATTTGGCCTGGCCTTGGCAAGATTTCCACATCTTGCATTCTGTATCCGATCCCAAGAGCTGTTGTGATGACTACGCTTCAGTGAGCACACTGAGAGGACAAAGAATCTCTTTGTGTGTAAGGGCACAATTACTGGTCCTCAAGCCTGAGGACTCAGCTAATACTAATGAAGCAATACAAAAAAACTCCCTGCACAATTTCATATTGTGTTAAGATATATCAAATAAAGAGAAGAGATTTTCCATATTTGGCAACTTTATTTAATTACAAGATTATATTCTTACATCTTTAGGTCTCACCTGACTTGTAATGAGATAGAGATGAGTGGTATTTCTATGAAACTAAGTGATTTATCTTTTAATCTGTTAATCTATAATCACATTAAAAAAAATGGTTTAAAAAATCCTAGATTAATGTTTTAATCTTACAGCTTTTTCATAGTGAAACGTTACTATCTACTTAAAACTATTAAGTAGATGTTTTCCCCAATCACATTCCATACTTTTCAATGGCTTCCTTGGCCAGGGAAATGTAGGCGTTCATGGCGTCATCATTTGACATGCCTGTTGGAGAAAAGAGTGACGACTATATGAATCAAGCCATCATCAGAAACATAACTGTGTAGCTGAGTACAAATCTGAATACAATTTACATCATAAATACAAACAAGTACAAGTACATTCATTTTAATTGCTCGAAAATAATGAAAATATTGAGGAGAAAAAAGCAGGAAAAAAGTTTTTTCCTTACCTTTCCTTGAATTCCATGCCTCCCATTTGGCTTTCCCTTTCAAATCTGTTATTCCAGGTTTGTCTGCACAAAACAGAACATACAGATTTGAACTATTAGATCTAAGCCTCAAGCTCAGATGTATGGTTTAATATAACTATTTATAATGGTCTACAACAATTACCAGTATTAATGTCCCCAACGATGGCTTGCTTGTAGAGGCCGTACAAATCCAGCAGCTCTTGGTCTGTAGGTCTTAACAGAACATACAGATTTGAACTATTAGATCTAAGCCTCAAGCTCAGTATGGTTTAATATAACTATTTATAATGGTCTACAACAATTACCAGTATTAATGTCCCCAACGATGGCTTGCTTGTAGAGGCCGTACAAATCCAGCAGCTCTTGGTCTGTAGGTCTGGTCTTCACTTTCTTTACGTTCTCTGCATATTGCTCAAATTCAGCCTACAGCCACAGAGATCATGATTTATTTTTTCCCCCTGTGATCCTAGAACAATATTACTAAGCTCTAATGTGTATCTGCTTATACTGTAGTCTGACTCATTCTGCCCCACTAAGCACATTCTTAATCACTATAAGCATCATGCATTATTCTCAGACTGTATGCAGCCTATTGTTTGCGTGCCAACATGAATGCTCTTTGTACCCATATAAACCTACAAGATAAGGGTTGACATTTAAGACAGGCTTTCTCAAGTCTGATTTATCAACTACAAAACTTTCATATGAAATGAATTGTTTGTGGATAGCATATGCATGTCGCGCAACTTTTGGCCAGAGCAAGAATAAAGGACAACGTGACGTACGTAATGCATCCACGAGCGCACATCCAGAAGCTGCAGATGAAAACAGCACGAACACGATCGTGATATCTGAAGTGGATGCGTAATATGCGCCGGAGCACACGACGAGAATAAAATTAGCTCTGCGTGCACAGCTAAATCTAATGCAGTATTATAATAGGGCTTGTAATCTTTCAAATCCTACCTACATATCCAGCTGCGGACTTAAAGGAACATCCAAACGTTTTGTTATTCATGTATTACATCTCATCAAAAGGAACGTGGAAAAAAAGAAAACAGTGCAGATAAATACCTTCAAAGTCATTTTCTTGGGCGAGTAGAGTGGCTGGGCGCGGCAGCTTGAACGTAGCGTAGATGCACTGATGAAGAGAGCTTACGATGATCTCCAGCGCGCTGCTGTGGAGCCGAGCGCTGATTGGCTGATGGAACGTCCGAGGGAGAAACCCAGTGAACTTCGGCTTATTCTATTTCTATGGTGAAACAATTCATTCCAGCATTGTGCCTTTAGCTTTCACATGCAGCTTTACGTAACACGAGATCCAGAGTTTACCCAAAAAGCATATAAATGGGAAAATGATTAATTGACATTAATTGGCAGGGTATACCCACTGTTTGCAGGTTTATTCATTTCTTTAATTTTTTTTACCTGAGCCTGTAAACAATGGGTAGACATATTTCTATTTCCTGGTTATATAGCGAATATAAACAAATCAAACAAAGCAGATTTTTTTAAACCGAAATTTAGATATAAAAATGTATTTATTAAGTTTTTTTTTTGTCTTTGTGTATTTAGATAAGTTTTCTAGTAGACCAAACAATGAATGTTACAATAATAAAACAAAGTGCTCATCAATATGAGGCAAAACAAAACAATGGTTGCTAAAGAAAATGTCAGGACCACTGATCTATAATAGAGAATTTATTTTATGCATTTATATATTTATATAGTCATTTATATAGATCAGTTTTCAGGACACAAAAAGCACAGTTTACGTAACTACTCTCTCTCTATATAATATACATTTTAAAAACGTATAATCCAATGAACTTTTCATTTTTTTATTTAATCAGATTAACTAATAACAACAGGTCTATTTATATCATTATAAATCATATATTTTGTTACTTATAAAATATTTATTAGCTAGATTTGTGAATTACAGCACATGACAAAAAGGCTTGTGGACGATATCCAGCTAGTTGAACGGCTGTGTTTAAGGACATTCAGCCGCTAGATGGCAGCGTGGATTTTAGAAACCTTAACCGATTTATTGTGTGACCACAGAAGAAGACCTTCAAAAACATCATGTCTGCGCACGGAGAAATGTGCTCACGCTTTGGAAATGAAACCCTGTATAATGGGTGATTTCAGGCTATTTTATTAGGTTTGTATAAGTTGCTGATAATTATACGTCTTGGTTCATATAAAGAGTTTTAATGTAATGTTGCATGCCTCATTGAGCTCATATTATATAATTTAATGCTGAATTTGGCTTAAAAGCAGGTTTCCAGAAAGAATGTCTGACGTTACCCCAGCGAAAGGAACAAAGAAGCCCATACCAGTGAAAACTTCAATGAATAGCCCATACAGCATTCACTGGAGTCCACTAGAAAGAGCACAAGCATTTCATACTGAACACACTTAAAGTCAAACTATCCGCCGTTGGGCTATGTGTTTGACCTTGATAAATGTTTCTCACATTCTCAGAGAGAGAGAGAGTCAAAGACGAAGAGAAAGGAGGGGAGACCCCTCAATAACTGGAACAAGACCTAAGAGAGCTGCACAACATAACTCATTCACTTTGAATGGATGTCAGTTATTCCTCTTTATATTGACTACGCCCAGGTCAGAGAATTTGAGATGGACCTCTCGATCAGTCTGCATCCAACACGAAGCAGCCAGTTACTGTAAAACAAGGCCAACCTGGGGAGAATAGAGAAGTGATTTAAAACACACTCCAATATTTTAAATGGTAATGACTGATTATAATCATGTACTTAACATTTATATAGCTTACTTTACATTTAAGAAATATTTAATTACAAATATAAAAATGTATATACAGCATATAAATAATGTGAAACTTTTCAAGCTGTGTTATCACTTTTAATGCTGGAGCACTGCGAAACTGAAATTAATAATAATACAAAAAAACGTATCTACAAGGTAGTAGACTTTACATGCAAATGTGTCTTTACCAAGCATTTAACTATCAAGCCCATTGCTACCTTAAAAAAATAAATAATGAATCAAATTATTTAATAAAGTACACAATTATGACAACTAAATACATGATATATAAATAACTCCCCACTGTATATTAGTGCTGTCAAACGATTAATCGCATCCAAAATAATTTTTTTTTTGCATAATGTGTATATTTATTATGTTTATATAAATACACACATACAGTATATATTTTGAAAATAGTTACATGTATTTACATGTCTATTTATATTCATATAATTTATGTAAGGGATAATCAACAGCTAGCCGTGCGTTTAAGGATTTAATGATTAAGGATTGATATCTGACCTCTCTCTCTCTATGTGTGTGTGTGTGTGTGTGTGTGTGTGCGCGCGCGAGTGATGCGTGTTGGTTAGTGTGCATCAATTAAAGCAGCGCATTAATATAGAACGGTGATTAAACTGACTTGGAACTACCTTTAAACGGTTTTACTGCATACCTGCCAGCCAATCAGAATCCAGTATGCAGACAGACCATGGAATAAGTGGGATAATCAACGGCTAGCCGTGCGTTAAAAGGATTTTAAATGCATGACGTGGAGGCAAAGAACTGCCCGACGCGAAGTGCATTTAAAATCCTTTAACGCATGGCAAGCCGTTGATTATCCCACTTATTCCATGGTCATTTGCCAAGTTATAGACTAGAAGGGTGATTAAACTGACTTGGAACTGCCTTTAAACGGTTTTACTGCATACCTGCCAGCCAATCAGAATCCAGTATGCAGACAGACCATGGAATAAGTGGGATAATCAACGGCTAGCCGTGCGTTAAAAGGATTTTAAATGCATGACGTGGAGGCAAAGAACTGCCCGACGCGAAGTGCATTTAAAATCCTTTAACGCATGGCAAGCCGTTGATTATCCCACTTATTCCATGGTCATTTGCCAAGTTATAGACAAGTTAAAACTAGTATTGTTTTTTGCAGCACGATATTTGACCGAATGGGTAAAAATGACAGTTATTTTCGTCAGTTACGGCACATTAGCACTAGCATTCTGCCCACTTCAAATCATACACAGAGATGAAATAGTGTAGTAAGACCACATTTATTTGAATGAATTATAGCATGTATTACAATTAATCATAGAGAGAGAGAGAGAGAGAGAGAGAGAGAGAGATGACAGTTGTGTGTCAGTTACCTGTGTGTCTCTCTGTACAAACAATTACTTCAAAAACAGCAATATTTTATTAATGAAAATCACGGGGAAGTGTTGACAACAAGTTTGTGTGTGTGTGCAGCGCAATCAGCAATCTCTGACCTCTCTCAATTAAAGCAGCGCATTCATATAGAACAGTGATTAAACTGACTTGGAACTACCTGTGCATTAAACGGTTTTACTGCATAACTGCCAGCCAATCAGAATCCAGTATTCAGACAGACCATGGAATAAATAAATACATTTAATATATAAAAATAACATTTCTCTGAAATATATACATGCATGTGTGTGTATTTACATATACATGCATGTGTGTGTATATATACATAATAAATATACACAGCACACATACATACGTAAAAAACAAACAACAACTCTGCATAAATGTCAACAATTCTGTGTTTTTCTGTCAATATGGGGTGCTGTGTGTACATTAATGAGGAAAAAAAATTAACTTAAATGATTTTAGCAAATGGCTGCAATATAACAAAGAGTGAAAAATTTAAGGGGGTCTGAATACTTTCCGTACCCACTGTATATATATAGTTTTAAGAAGAGGTTAAGCATCAATGCTGGGATATAAAGACTTAAAAAAAATCTTACTTTCTCTGGGTCCATGGGAGGGCATTTCCAGTTGTACATGTAATACTGCAGGTTACCATCACCAATCCCAAACTTGAGCTTTTCCAAGAAATTCTTATTGTCCATTAGATCCAGTGCATTAAAAACATCAAAACCTTTCTAATGTCGAGAAACATCCCCAAAGAAAAAAAAAAGAGGGAATATGAATTACAACATATGAAGGCATTTATACAATACACATATACAATATATGAAGACATATAAAACATAAAATATATGAACAAAAAATAATCAGTACTTAGTCATTAGTCAACAAATCATTAGTAATCGTCTTAGGTTAACAAGCTCTTTTGCTTCTGATGTGTTTGTACCTGTCTGGCTAGGATGAGAGCATCATTCATCAGGTCTATGAGTGGCGTCTCTGTGTGGACATTGTAAAAGGAATAAGCAGCCTTCAGGCTTTTGTGCAGTGGATGATGCATCACTGTGGATGGCAGGGTGTAGAAACTGATGAAGTCCGTTAGCATCCCGCCAGAGCCCTTTCAAGAAAGCACAATAAGCAAGTAAGAATATGAAGATAAACATGATTAAATATGATCAGCACATTTGTAGATGCATGTTGCCACACATACCTCGATTACATAAGTGTCAATGATGTTCTCCTGTGGTAGGAACCAGTGCTTCACCTCCTCTTCCCCCATGACAGGCCGCAGGTGGAACTGGCTCAGGTGTTTCTGCAGCAATGCTGTCAACTGCTTCATATCCCCATCTCCCATCGGCCTCAAACCAGGAGTACGAGTGCTCTAAGGAAAAATACAGAACAAAATCAGAAACAAAAAAATCACCCAGAAAAACACAGCATATAGGTTTGGAACAATATAATGGTGATTTCTGGATGCACTACTCCTTTAAGAGTATTGTTTCTGACGAATATTTCTTTTGAAATGACAAAATGGCTTACATCAGGTAATCTGTACAGCTTCATTGTCCGTTGTAGTGTCATATTTCTGCTGAGATGGGAGAACTTAACCTCCACAAGCTTCCTGGGGTTTAGTGAGCGATGCCAGTATCTGTTGAGATACAAATACTTGGATCAATCTCACCGAAATGCTTCAAATGAGAATCTAATAACATAAATGAGAGTATTTAACATAAACTGATGTAGCAATCCATTTAAGATTTGGTACCTGCATGTAGACACAGGTTTGGGCAGGACTACACCAGCAGTGTATACAGCCTGGAAAATTCCCTCTAAATTGACCCGCCGCGTGATCTCTCGGATTAGTACAGGGGCGACACGCTTTGAGCGCAATTTTTTATGCACACACAGGAAGTTAATCTCCACCATCCTCTTCAACCTTTGGATGCAAAGAGAATTAGTGACTGGAACAATGAACAATTCTCTATTTACAAACACTACTGGTAAAACCTGCTCAAGAGTTTCAAGTTTTGGTGCAGGCATTGATGTGATGTGGCCTGATACTCACGTGTCATAGATGTGGATGTCAGCAGGAATGGCACTGATGAACCCAACCAGCTTCTTATTGGACGAGACCCTGACACCACAGTGCCACTGGGGCAGCCAACCCGGGGGACGTAACGCCCTAACAGTGAAAGACAGCAAAAAGAAACTGTCACACATCTCACCCTGCATGCGGTGCGATGCACTACACTGAAGGTAGAATATGATGCAAAACATCAAACAATCACTTACCATTTCAGAAAGTTAGGAGAATAGTCAAATCTAAACATGTTGTCATCGTCCTCAACATAATTTTCATTCAGCAAAGTGTACAACTCCTTCAGCTACATGGGAAAAAAGAGAAAATACTATGATTTTGTATACACAGGGCTATTTTATTTTTAAATGAATAGCAAATACAAATTATTGTTTTCATTCATGCACATACCACTTCAGCACTGCTAAGGTCCAGTGTGTCCCACATAAAGCCCTGTGGGAGGGAATATGGCTCTTGTCTGATATTTTCTTTATCCGGCTCAATTGGCCCATGAGTTGTCACTACCTCATCTGCAAAGAAACAGAGGAAGATCTTTAAATCTCTCAATGCTGTTTATCTAGAAATAACATATTTGTAAAGCAGGGATTCTCCTTTTTACCTAAAATATTTTCTTGAAGATTTTAGATTAATTTTCATTTTTTAATTTATATAAATTATACAAGGGATTCATGAACCCCAATTTGGGAAACTCTGATGTAAATGATAATGAACAATCAGCTGGTTATTATTACAAAATATATCCTACCAGGAAGAACAGGGTCCTGATGCACAGCAAGGTTATTATAGTTTTGAATTTTTAAATTCGTTTTACTTCAATATCGTTTTCAAATTTGCTATAAAATTCAGTTTAGTTTTTATTAGTTTCATTCATATTTTTGTTAGTTTTTAGTTTGTGAACGCATTTTTATATAGTTTAGTTTCAGTTTTAATTAAAGTTTAGCAGAATTAACAGATCACTTCCAGAGCGCAGGCCAAAGAAAGACGTAGGTATAATTTAACCTTAGTGAGGCAAACATATAGCGACACAAAATTAATGCATGCTGAGATTGATTAGATAGTAAAAGTATACAAATATACGCCAAAGAAAGCAGGCAAGCCTTTTTTTTTTACTAAATTAATCTACACAAGTCACGCTTAATGTCATATCCAATTATGTGTGTTGAGATATTTCGTATGAAAATAAATGTAGCCTGATTTGGTTATATTTAACCATAATCATGATATTGTAACTGTGGTGTCTTGCTCACTTTTCCGTGAACAGCCGTGTATCAACCAAAACTGGGACTAATGAAATTCAATAATAACAGCAATCGCATTTAACAGTAAAGGCTTATATTTGAATGTTCTTTTCATTTAAGAAGAATGCATGTGTATGAAGTGATTTAGCCAATGCACATTTGTTCAAAAGCCTGGCAGAGTGATCACAAGATGCTAGGCAAAAGTTTTGTGTTGTTTACAGAAAGGATGCGTGTTCTCATCTTTTTTTGTTGCGCTGCATGTCTTTTTCTTCAAAGCATCAACTTAGAATGCCTAATGTTGGTTTGATTGCTTGTGTTACATGATAAAATAAATAATCTTGCTTACCTGATGTAATAGATTTAATGCGAGTGCAGTTCGGGTCGCGACTCGCGGTCTTTATGTCAAACGGTTCTCGTCTGGTACAGAATTAAATTAGTGCTGCTGTCAGATAATGGGTCGGGTGTTCTGATGAGTACTGCTGGTGCACGTTTACCAAACAAGACCCGTGCAGGCTTTTAACTGCTTTGCGTCTCTCCGTCAGATAACCTCATGTGCGTGATGTGCCATTACAGATAGGCCATTTCCACACAGCTCGTATATTTTTCCGCCAAGGGGTGAGAATGTAATGATTACGAAAACGATTATTTATTTTTGATGATTTTTTTTTTTCAGTTCGTTTTTCAATAACTGTTGTTGTTAGTTTAGTTTCGATTTAGTTTTTCAATTATTTTGACGTTTTTATTTTATTTCAGTTTACGAAATTGTTTTTTCATCAATCGTTTTAGTCTTCGTTTACGAAAATAACCTTGATGCACAGCATAGGGGATTTGTACCTGCCGGTCTGGTCTATCCGACTGTACAATATCAAGCTAATTACACAACTACTTAAATAAGTACATGATGTGAAATATTGATTTAAGCTGAAAGTTTGGGGTAATATTTTTTAAAGATATTAATACCTTTATTCAGAAAGGATTTTTAAAATGCTGTTGAACTTTCTATCCATCACAGAATCCTGAAAAAATTTACCAGTTTCCACAAAAATATTAAGCAGCACAACTATTTCATAAGCACCAAATAAGCATATTAGACTGTTTTCTGAAAGATTATGTGACACTGAAGACTAGAGCAATGGCTGCTGGAAATTCTGCTTTAGCATCACAGAGAGTTATTTTAAACTGTAAATAAATTTCACAACATTACTGTTTTTACTGTATTTGTAATCAAATAAATGCTGCTTTGGTGAGCATAAGAGACTTGTCTGAAAACATGAAAAAAATCGTAATAACTAGACATCTTATGCTTGTTCTTTCATTCATGATGCTGAGATTGTATTTTCTGAATAAACCATAACTTGATTTGCTTGTTGAATACAACACTGTTTAAAGATCAGTGTAAAATTCTTACTGATTTGCCAAGGATTTCCCAAATTACTTACATTTGCAATCGAACACGTGCAGAGGTGACGTATGACTTACTGAGTTTGGGCACGGGTTGAGTGTCCCAGAACTGGTACTTGTGCTTTGTGGCCTCATCTATGTTTTTGGCTGGACCTTGACAGGTGGACAGGAGCTCCATAGCTCTCTGAATGTCCTGCAGTTTCTGCATTGGAATGGCAGGGTTCTGGGACAGGAACAGAGGGAAATCAGCCTCTTTTTTTTTTTTTTTTAACAAAACATTTTGATAACACTATACAAAGCAGAAACCTTTATCTCCTGAGAATCAGAGGCAGAGTCAGACTTGGCACCTCCTGAGCTTGGCTTCTCCTTCTTTCTCTTCTGTTTCTTCTTTTTCTTCTTTGCACCAAGATCCCCCCCAGGACTCCTTAACAAAACCACAACACCTTTCAAATGCCAGATAGACCTTACTGACAACATGTATGAGCTGTTTATGAGACTCAAAGACATAACAGCTGAAAGTGTCAATGGGTTCCTGTTACAACAATAGCCTGGAGGGGGACTGCCAGAGGAAAAACCATAATAACAAGTGTCAGTCTCTTCATGGAAGCAGGTCAAACTTCATCAGGCTTTCCTGAGGGATGTAAGTCTGCCTGACAACAACAGACAATCATCATCCTCGGTCCTCGAGCTGACAAAGATGCTCGACTGCAATGCTGCTCACTCAGCTCATAAAGAGGATCAAGCGTGTTTGTATTGTTCAGAAGACACTAATGAAACCAAACAGACTAATAAATGTGTTTAGAAATATAGTAGAGAAGCGCCTGGAGGACTTGTCTGACTGCTGAGCTCAAATAAATCCTTGAACATTAATGTCGAGCTAGCTACAGCTAACTACTTTGATTCAAACGCTGTATAAAGTAAATATCGACACTTATCTAACTTGTTAGGCTATTTTGAAATGTTTATATATACCGCTACACATCCATCATGCAATTAACGAGCTATTATATTAGCCGACTCGTTGTAAAATGCCCCAATTCTCCTCCTGGTTACCTGGTTGCTAAGCTAACCGTTTGTTTACATCTCTGGAGCAGTTAAACGGCGGCGGTTTGCCGCGGCTAATCCTCGCGCAGACCGCAGCTCTTTAGCGCCTGCTCACCCCTGCATGTGCTCATTTTCCTCCTCGTTGTCTCCGTCGATGCCGCAGGTGTCCTGGTCGTCCAGCTCCAGGCTCTGCTGGCTGGCCGCGGACTCGCTGTCCTCCGCCATCATGGATGAATGTGCTGCAAATCCTCACGACAAAACCACGCAATAAAAACCACGGAAAACAGCACCGTCTACTGATTATTGCCACTAATAGCCCGTGAGAGTGTAAAGGACAGACCAACGTGATGATGTATATTTTTAAAAGCAAATATTTGGTCAGTTTATTGTATTTTTAAAAAGAAGCTTTTTTTTAATGATAAATATAAATGATGTTTTATTAACACTGTCTGGACTAGACGTTGTAGGAAGAATGTGACTGTATCTGATATAACTGATCGTGAGCGTGAAACAAATGGTCAATATCATTAGACTTAAAAGTGTTTCGGTTGTATGATAAGTTAATAAAATTGCTCAGGTTTACAGCAGTCTGGTTTACCCTAACCAAAAGTAATTTTATTTGACAAAATGTGTAATAGCCTATCAACAGAGCTGGGTAGAAAGTGTAGTCCGTTACTGAATCCAAATGACATGACAAAATTTGTACAGTAGTTAGTAACGTGATTTATTACATTACATATTTTAGGTAGGCTAATATAATCAGATTATACTTTACTTTTTTATTAACTTTAACCTAACTCATTTATCTCATTGATTTAAATATTGATATTGTATCATATTGATATTAAAATGCAAAGGTAATATATTCCATTTGTTCCAAAAGTGAATTAAGCATTACATTATTTCAAGGTTTCCCAAACTGGGGTTTGTGAAGGAACTGCAGGGGTTTGTGAGTTTAATGAAAAGCTAATAATGATTTTTGTCATAAAAATGTAAAATTGAAATAAATCATTTGAAAATAACATGAATCAAAATAAAACACTTACTAAAAATGAGTAGCATGTAGGCATTTTAGAAAGGAACATTTAAAAGATGAAATTAGGGAGAATCAAAATATTATGAATATTTTTTTGCTAGTGTGTGAATATATGTAATCAAGTGACCAATTAAAAAGTACTAACTGTAGTTTGATTACGAGTATTTTAAAATGTAATTTAATCATGTAATCAGTTACTTTCCAGCTCTGTCTATTACAATAACAGAATTTGAAATAACTACAAAGCTAAGTAAAGCCACAGTTTGTAATCAAATTATAGTTATAAAATGTACCATTTCAAAAATGGTGCCATAAATGAGAACAATAGTAGTAGTAATACATAGGAATAGTAACAATTGTTTAAAGCTGTTTTGTATACAAGTGAGTGGTGCTTTGCAATGACTAGGTTGTGTTTAACTTGTAGGTAGAAGCTACTCCATTAGCAGTTCGTTTTTGCCTGTAAGCTTTTAAACCGTTTCCCAGATGGTAAAAGTGAAAACAAAATTTTATTTTGAATTCTTTAGTGACATCTCTTGCTATCTTAGAGACACCAGAGACTTTCTTCAATGTCTGTCAGTCATAAAAAATCTAGATGAAGACATACTTGCTACAATGGATGTGACCTCTTATACACTAACATTCCCCACACTGAGGGTCTTTTGGCATTGAAATATTTTCTTGATCTACGCAGTGATGATGGCTGTCTGCCAACCAAATATATTGTGGATATGGATGAATTGGTTTTGACAAAGAATTACTTTCTTTTTGGGATACAAATTTTATCTACAAATTGAGGACACAGCGATGGGTGCCACTATGGCCCCCAACTCTGCAAACCTATATCTTGGTGATCTTGAAGATCAATATATCTTTAATAACAATCCTTTTATCAATAGTTTTGTATTGTTTAAAAGATATAATAATGACTGTTTCATCATTTACAAAGGTTCTGCTGGTGATTTTGAAGTTTTTGTCATATATGAATTGTCTTATGTCATCCATTAAGTTTACCTATCATGCGGGGACAACAGACATTCATTTTTTGGACACAAACATCTCTGTTATCAATGGCCAACTTTTATCTTCTCTGTATAGAAAGGAAACGGCAAAAAACAGTCTCTAACATGCAAGGAGTGCTCATCCCATGTCTTTGAAATGTGGTCTGCCGTATAGTCAGTTTGAGATTTGTTCTAACAAGGATGAATTTGAAGCCAAAGCCCAGAATTTATATAATGATTCAAGTGGCTAGATACTGCATTAGAAAAAATGAGATCTTTGCCAGATGATATCAACTTGACTCTCTGTTATCAATGGCCAACTTTTATCTTCTCTGTATAGAAAGGAAACGGCAAAAAACAGTCTCTAACATGCAAGGAGTGCTCATCCCATGTCTTTGAAATGTGGTCTGCCGTATAGTCAGTTTGAGATTTTTTCGCATTTGTTCTAACAAGGATGAATTTGAAGCCAAAGCCCAGAATTTATATAATGATTCAAGTGGCTAGATACTGCATTAGAAAAAATGAGATCTTTGCCAGATGATACCAACTTGACCCCCCAAAATAAGAAGTTTTCTTGTGTATTTAAATCTACTTTTAGTCCCTTGAGTCCAGAAATAAAAAAGGCAATCAATAGTCATTGGCGTATCATACAGAGCGATTGTGATTTGTCAGACCTGTTCACTGATCCACCTCTCTTTGTTCACTCCAGGCCTCCGAATCTACGTAAATTGATAAATGGGTGCGTGCAGATACTCGCATCCCCTCTCCGGGGCAGTGGCGGCTCGTCGGGGGAGGCAGGGGAGGCACAGCTTCCCCATCATTTTGAGGTGAAAATGGGAGGAGGGCGATTTAATGTTAATAAAATTCACAATTCATTTCAGTTCATGTCTCAGAATGTGTAATTTTTGTTTGCAATTTCACAGTTTTAATACCATAACGTGAAAGCGCCGCGTTTCTATCGCGAATGTGCCGAATCTGCTGATGTAATTATAACCGCTAGGTGATAGAGAAGGGGAGGGGAAGCCAGGGGAATGCTGAGCTCTCATGCCTCCGTTGGAAAACAAATTAGCCAATCAGCATCGAGTGTTCACTGTCAGCGCTGAGGAGTGTTGAGAAAAGAAAACTTGTAGGGAGGCTAGCCTCCTTTCTGATAATATTTGATTGCCAACAGATTTACCAAGCTGTCATTCAAACAGTATATATACAAAAAAAAAAAGGGAAAACAGCCAAAGCTGGATATAGGCTACAGCAGTCGGCTTAATTAAACTGCGCAACAGGCAGCTCTCTTTTAACACAGACTTTTAAGAAGGGATGGATGTTTGCTTCAAGTGATAGGCCAGGTAAGTGAAATTATATTATCTTGCTGTATGCGTGTCGTTTTCTTTACGTTTTCTGACTAAAAGCAACCAAAAAGCCATTTTAAAGTGGTTAAACAAATAATAATAATAATAATAATCGGCAGGGATCCCAGACCAATACAATTAGTGTGCCTCC